TCGGAATTCTAAAAGTTCCTTATACCTGGGAGGCTGGGAGTTGAAAAGGGTTTTAAAAAATAAACGATGCAGTGATTTTTGACGTTCTTGTCACAGGCACGTGAATAGAGATCATTTTCAACAAACGACAACAAATGTTCAACTAGACTGATTGCCAAACTTCTGGAAATAGGTACCGACATCATTTCAGAAAGGCATATTCATTTTTGGAAAAATAATACTAAAAAAAAATTAAGGAAGCATTGACCACGAGTATTCATTTCCAAGGTGATAGGGCAAGCAGAGAGTTTCTTCACCAGCTTCATTTAACAGTATACACAAACAAAATTTTGATGATGAAGCATGATTTATAAGCAACGGTGATCATGGACGGTTTTACCTGGTGGGAGCAACTAGACGGTTGTTTTGCTGTAGGTTGGCAGGAAAAGGAGCTCGACAATTGGTAATATGTGATTTCAGCCTGGGAATGTTGGGGTGAGCACTTCTGCACCGGTGGCAACGTAACTCCATTGACATGAGGCTGTCATCGTCTCTTAGTGTAGCCTTTCCTTGATCAGTTACTTCTTCAATTACATCAACAGAGTCACGGAAAAAGGCAGTGTTGAATGAGTTCCAATGCTTCTTGTTTTTGAGGTGTTTGGAATCAAAATCTTGGCTAATAACGTGCAGGTGCAGTTGTCGCATTGAAGGGTCCTGCAGGACAAGAAAGTTGAAAATCAGCATTTTTCTACAACCAATAACAAATATCTTAAGAATCTAAAATGGTATAGGGACAGAGCCATTTGCTCTGGGAACAACCCAACAGTCCACATTTCAAATACTAATCTTCAGTCCAGCACTGACAGTTCCATCAAGTTTATTAGATTCAAAAATATATTGTGAAAAATAACAGATAAATAAATAAATAAAGTGTTAGGCACTGCATACTGAGTGATATCCAAGGCGGAAGACCAAAGATGCATCTTCATTAAAGAATTTCTCAGCCCACTTTAATCCTACTGCATGCATTGTCTTTAACAACTGAAGATGCTCAGTGCACACATCTGACAACTGATCGAGGCCTTTGCATCGTGCCAACACCAAAAGGTGCTTTTTCGCCTGCAATGACAAATATTTACCTTTGTTTTAAGATGAGAACACAAGGTTTGAGGAGGTTGGAAGACTAAATATCATACATGACATATTTACCTTGGGATAAACATCATTTATAACAACAACATCATCTGATGTCTCCAGAACAACATCCTTATGCTTCTCAGGGTGCATAGCAGTGTCATAAAGAGCCTGAGCCCAAGAGCCCCATGCCTTGTTCATAGCTGCCCCATTGATCTTCCTATTCTCCTCTTTTTCCCTAGGATGATTACCATGAGAACTGACTTTGCCTTCAGATCCCCTAAACTTTTTGCTTTTCTCAAACTCATTGTGGTCATCTTCTTTAATATTTCCATCACTATCAGGAAAATAACTTCCAGAGACACCCTCTGTCTTATCTTTTGACACTAATGGCTCTGTACGAATGCTTTCACTGCTTCTCTTAGGAAACCTTGCTTGGGCCTGAACTACAGATAAAAAACCTTCAAAAAGTGATGTGTAAGTGTCATGTAGAATCTTGCAGCCTTTGGTATAGTCATTGTCAAGATAATTTGGTCTGTGTGGGTTCATATTTGGACCAAGAACATGTATTACATGGGTTATGCCTTCCCCATTATACAGGGGAGAATTTGAAGGGAGAGGAACAACAACAGCATTTCCTGGTAAAAGAGATTTAGCACGCTCCTTGGTAGCAGCCTCTAAAGCTGGACCAGCAGCTTTGAAGATTGCAGCATTCACTCCTCCACCCCCAGGTTTCAGTCGCCTGAAGAGGATAGTTTTTAAGTTATCACGTTATGAATGAGAATCAAATACATAAAAATGGAAATACATAACTTCTATTTTCAGAAAAAACAATTATTATATTATAAAGCAGAACAAAGATGACATCCTCACTTCAACCACCAGTGTGTGTATAAATATAATCATCTATGAACCAAATTATGTAATCCTCTAGATGACAGAATATCATCATCACTAAATGTTAGGAAAACAAACCGATAAGAAATTTATTGGTTTCTTCAGAATAGCAGTAAAAGTCTCAGGAGACAATCTGATCCAGATGATCTATGGATGAAGATCAGATATTGATTATAGCTTCATGTACCAGAGTACAAAGATTACAGCTTCAGTACTTAATCAGCCATTGAATGCTAAGTAAATATGTTATACCCACACACACACACACTTACCAGTTTGCAGCATTAGCTATTACATTGCAGTGCAAACCTCCATCTGAATGAAGTCTGGTTATATCTCCAACAAATGTGAAGAACCTTTTAGAATCAATGTTTCTTTGTACAGCTTTAGTCTTAACCAAGGATAAAATTTTTGATCCATGACCCAAGTCCACCAGAACAAGCCTTGCATTACCAAGCTTATCCATGAATTCCTCTATTGTCTCAACAATAATATCAGATGCCTTCTCATGGTTAAATTGGAAATCTGCAGTAGAAATAGATGGAAATGCCAAAGTGGGAACATTAGCTACTTGCTCATTTCTTACCTTTACCTCTTCATGGGTCACAGATTGATCCTTTTTCTCAATAACATGAGAAGGCACAGCACTCTGAATATCACTTGTATTGGATGCTACATCTGAAGGGACCTCTAATTTCTTAAAGAACTTCATAATACCCTGTTGAACTTTGGCATCTGAGTTCTTCTGGCCAAAGCAACCATTTGGAAGGGTATCTGAGGGCCCAAGTTTACCATATGTGTCTAGAATAGTTTGAACATCACTTTCATTCTGACAAAATGTAATTCGAGAAAACCCTTCACTCAACTTAGGAAGTTCTTTCTTTTGCAGCATTCTGTTCACAACTGCTGCCGCTTTTCCACCTTGCAGATTTCCCTCATGTCCAGTCCGTTTCACTGATCGTGAGATACAAAGCTGTGCAGGAAGGTCAAGCACCACAGAATGAACCTCTATTTGGGGACTGCCAAATTTCACAAAGTCTGAACGTTGTTCACTGTCCAAGTTGCACCTGTCAATAAATACACTTTTTCCTTCCTTCAGTGCCGTAGCTGCACTGCTTATGCATTGTTGTTTTGTCCCTGATTTGCCATTATTAATGGTATCCTGAAAGCACAAGCAAATTTGAATCTAAAAACGAAAAAAAATAAAAAATAAAAAAAAAAGAAACCCACTTTCCTACACATTGGTGCACAAATGTATAGCATTGAAAGGATGAAAAAATAAAAAGCACTGGACATGGCACTCAACTGGCAAGCGCATTTAAAAAGAAATTTTAACTTGAAATGGGAAAGGTTGAAAAAAAAAACACTTGAACCCAAATTTATGATAGCAGTTTGGTGATCCATCAAATTGTTGTGCGCCAACCACAATTGTAACTGAATATCAGGGTCTATTATATCAAATCCTGCATTAACCAAGAAAAACCTATTCTCGGCCTCAACTCTAAAAGTTTTACAGTTCTTTTACCTTAGTACGTATATGAATTTTCTCTTCCTGTCTTATTATATCTTGAATTACGTTATGCATCCATCCCCTTGAGGTCAATAAACTGGTTCAAACTTTATTGCAGCATTTTTTAACTACACCTCCTCAAGGACGAACAGCATCATAATAACCCATAAAACTAATTGCACCGATGACCCACGAAACCCATTGAGGCATATCATCGAACATGTGCAACCAATATTAAATCAAACATCTACAAGAGAAAGGGAGGCAGAGTGTGACCTGACAGACACGAGCCCAGGAACGGGAAGAGGAACGCATGATGTTTTCACAGAAGGTAGATTTCCCACTTCCTGGAGCACCCACAAGTACCACCACGATTTGCTTTCCCTTATTCTCCTCACCACCTTCTGGAAAAACAAACGCAGTCTGATACTCAGCAAAATGTTATCAGAATGAAAAGATTGAATTTCAGAAAAAGGCGAACCTTGAACTTCGGAAGTGGCGTCGATGTCCATCTCCATTATCGATTTTGCTTACAGCGATCTTGCCAATTTACTGGGGGTTTTGGCGCAAGCTGATTTCCCCAGAAGCTACAACCGCCATTTTAGAGTCCGGTTGGACACAGAGCGTAAAGAGTGTTGACCGACCCGGCCCGGATTATCTCAATGTATTATTTTAATCACAGGGATAATTACTATTTTTATGTGCAGGACCAACCTAAAACATAAACAGAAAAGAACCAAGATTTCTTAGTTTTCGCACTCTGAGACATAAAAATGTCTTTTCTTTTCTTTTCTTTTTTTAATTTTGACTTGCACATAAGAAGCAACATTTTCATATTTATTAAATTATTTTATTATATGTTATAGTACTCCAAATTATAATTTTTTACTTGTTAGATTAAATATTCATTTCTTAAGCATAATTTACCAAAATTATAAACCTTTAAATTACAAAGTTTATTTAAATATTGGATAATTAACTGAATTTTAGGATGAAAAAAGGGTAGATCAGTAGATGGTTGAGACAGATACTTCATATTCCTTTACCATTACTGTCTCTCTTATGTGTCCATTTCGTAATTTGGTTCTTCTAAATAGCGTAAAATGGTTAGGATGCAAAGAAATTTGAGCACTGACTATTTAGACTGAAAAAGAGTTGTAAAGAAACTGAATAAACTGAGTAATACATAGTATTTCATAAATCCTACCCAATAAAAAGAGGTAATTATAGCCTTTTGATCAATTTCCATCTCTTCATTTTTTTTGTTTTTTGCCTAGAGTACACTTTTCAAGAAATTTTCATCTTCGGATTTGATTGTCTAATGGTCACCCAAAAATCAAAATGCACAACTTGAGCCGAGCTACAGCATTGGATTTCTGTTGCTTTCACAAGTAGCATTTCCGGAGTATGGATCATCTTTGTATTAGTGTATCCAGCAAACAATTAAAAAGCAGATTACTCATGACCCCATTCACAAAATAAAATTACTCCATTTGTTTTCTCAATTTCATGATAAACACCAATAGGGAGTTAAGAGGCTACAACAACATCTAGTTGTGCACATTTTGAAGAAGCAGCATTTCTAAGATTGTTCAAGGTAGAAACAGATTTTGCAGGCTAGTCTTTCTTTTACTGGTGCAAAATAGTGTTCATGAATCATATCAGAATCCATGCTACTACAAGCTTCTGGAGATGTACTTATCCACTTAAACACAATGAAGTACATTTATATATAAGCCTATTCTCATAACATATATTTTATCATATATCATAACTAGAGAGCATGATCATTCATATAAACGAGAATTAAGTAGTAATTCAACAGTAACGATGAGAAAAGGCTATTCTGAACTTCAGAGATTTTGTGCAACAAGTGACACATTAAGGGATTATCTATACAAAAGGAATGGGTTTAATTTACTTGCACAATATGCTTTCCCACACATTCCTATAACTAAAGGTGCAAAAAGCATTCCAAGCAGAATGGCAATCATTGAATTATTCACTACTTGGGGACAACCATGCTTCACAAAGTCTGAACGTTGTTCACTGTCCAAGTTGAACCTGTCAATTGATAAACTTTTTCCTTCCTTCAGGACACTGTTACTTCGTTCCTGGCTTGCCATTGTTAATGTTATCCTTCAAGAAAAAGCAAATTTGAATCCAATACTAAGAAAAACACAGCAAAGAATTCAGGAAACTATGTACAGAATTTGGGTAGTGGAAAAAA